CTCGACTCCTTTGGAGTTCTCCTCGTAACCATTCCCTAAATTAACCGATGTGGGACACTTTCATCCAACACCTCCCCTCGAACTCGAACAGAGGCTCGACTCCTTTGGAGTTCTCCTCGTAACCATTTCCTAAATTAACCGATGTGGGACACTTTCATCCAACACCTCCCCTTGAACTCGAACAGAGGCTCGACTCCTTTGGAGTTCTCCTCGTAACCATTCCTAAATTAACCGATGTGGGACACTTTCATCCAACACCTCCCCTCGAACTCGAACTGAGGCTCGACTCCTTTGGAGTTCTCCTCGTAACCATTCCCTCAATTAACCAATGTGGGACACTTTCATCCAACACCTCCCCTCTCGAACAAAGTATGCTCTCATGACTTTGCTTTGGGCTTCCCTAAAAAGCCTCACACCAATGGAGAGTGTATTATTTGATTATAAACTCATGACCATTCCCTGAATTAATCGATGTGGGACACTTTCATCCTACACCTCCCCTCGAACAAAGTATGCCTCCCCTCTTAATCGAGGCTCGACTCCTCTAAAGTTCTCTAGGTCACTTTTTTACTATGCCTTCGAGACTTACAATACTTTGTTCGACATTTGAGGATTTGTCAATCTATTGGTATGATTAAGTTTAGGGCATGACTCTGATACCATGTTAGACGAACAGACTCTCCATAATGGTATGATATTGTCCACTTTGACTGTAAGCTCTCGTAGCTTTGCTTTGGGCTTCCCTAAAAGGCCTCAACCCTCAATCCAATGGAGAGTGTATTCTTTAATTATAAACTCATGACCATTTCTTAAATTAATCGATGTGACCATTTCTTAAATTAACCGATGTGGGACACTTTCATTTAACAAGGTATTTGTACGGTGAATATATACTTATTTGAGATATTTTTACCATTACATAAACAATTTATTACCGTTAAACTTTAAAAATTAAAAAAAAATCTAAAAATTACCCTTAAACTCTAAAAAAAATTCAAAAATATTCTTGGATAGAAAGGTTAATATTTTATTTAAAAAATATTCTTTTAACTCTTAAAATTATTTTAAAAAAATTTCTTTTTCATTAAAAATATCATAATAAATTATTTTAATTATTAATTTTAAAAAATATTCTTATGACGATGTTTCGAAAATACTCGTGAAATTTTAAAATATAATTGCCTTTGTCATATTTTATTTCAAAGTAATATTAAAAAATTAAAATTAAAATTAAAAAACTCTTATGGTCAATACATTTGAGAGCGATTCGTTATCAATATTCATATTATTTTACCATCACTTTCCTTATTAAAAAATTTAAATAAATATGACCGTGTTTATTTATTCGGTGTTATTTTTATATTTAATAATTAGTGATTCATTCCCGATGTATATTCCAAAAAAACATTAAAGTCTCTCATTCATTTTTGTGGTTGACGCGCTTTCTCGAGTTAACCTAGAACTATTTACGAGAAAGGGCAAACAGAGCTTGAAGACAACTATCCTACCTAATAGAGCAGCGGGCAGAATGAGGAAAAAGCCCAACAGTCATACTACTATGGTCGAAAAAGCATGTTCCCTTCAAATAACACGCACCGTAGGCCATCCCATACCTTTTTTTTTTGTTTTCTTTATGAAGAAGAAACCCAGTCTCGAGCTCTGAAAGCGTTTTCCTTTCCTTTCCTTCCCTTCATCGAGCCTTTTCGTCAGTGGCGGGAGGAAACATTGCCTTATCTAAACTTAGACGAACATTATTATTGTATTTCTTTTAAAAACACAATCTTAATTGAAATACGAAGCAATTGAAAATGAATAATATTTTACGAGAATAAGTATAGGGTTTAAGGGTTATATATATATATATATATATATTTATTTATTGAAATTTAATATTATCCCAAATTTACATATAAAAAGGGGGGAAATTACCACAGTAAAAACCAATAAAATTAACGAACCTTAAAAAAAAAAAAAGAAGAAAAAGAAATCAAGTTAATTTACTATTTAGCTTTGTCAAAGCCGGCGAAGGCAGAAGTAGAAGCGTTGCCGGTTCTGTAATTTCGCATCAGTTTCCAAAGTCTACCATTTGCGCGCTCTCTTCCCGGTTCCGGAGTTCATCAGAAAATCGGGATCATAGATTGATAAACCAGAGAACGCGCACGTTCTGGCTGTTATTTTTCTTACCGGAAGCGTTGAAGATACAGTTTCTGAGTCATTCGATGGCGGAGAAGCAGCTGATAGTGGTCGTTGAAGGTACTGCAGCCATGGGTCCCTTCTGGCAAACCGTCGTAACGGATTACATTGAGAAGATTGTCAGGTATTCCTCTTTTAACCTATCTGCTCTTCCATTTCCTTCCTGCTTATTAATTTTAAAGGGAGGTGAAATTGCGTAAGTATGCGTTTTCTTATGTTATTGATTGTTTTGTAGGATTTTATGGAATGTCTAGCAAGCTTCATTTGTCTGTTGACTCGTCAATAGGTTATAATTTAGCGAATGGGCTATTATGTGCACGATCATGATCAGTATGTTGATTTTCCCCCAAATTCGTCCATCAAAACTGGCCGAGTCTCCATTTTAAACTGGAACCGTATCATACTTGTTGTAACCTGCTTGTGTCGTGATCACGATACTATTTTGACAATTAATGCTCGAGTCGCCTATTTATTTCTGTAGAACTCACGATTTGTTACCGTGGTACCTGGTTTAGAGGCATCGTAGTTCATTGTTATTTCTATACAGTCGCTATGTACATCTTCTCATTTTGGGTATTGGTTGCACTCTGGTTTTGGTCGGCGCAATCGTTCCATTGCAATACTGTAGAATTTGTTGACGGGCTAGGAGTGAAGTTCCATTCTTGAATTTGGAACTTTTCTGGAGATTCCACGCTGTTTTAGTTTATTAACTACGACATCTATCTCTTCCAAAATTGGGGTGCAAATTTTCTTCCATATTTAGCTCATAAGATTATATCCCTTCCCTTTTTTTTATTGCCAACCTATCTGCCTCGTAATCACACTACATATTATTCTTCGAAGTTTATATATAACATAGTACCAAGGTCTTTTCACTAGCCCGTCTCAGTGACTCTGTTATCACTCTATATATTAATCCCTGTAATCAAAGGTGTATACTACTTGAGATATCACTTTTACTATCATCAATGTCATGAAGGTGTCCAGCATACTGACAGTTGATAAGCTGCTATGGACTATTAGGTCGAGGATTGGAGGTTCTGGACATTAGTTCTTTCCAAACGGTCTCCTTCTAGTCTGTGCTTGTCATAATGGGTGGCAATACTCTGCAATGGGAGGTGGTTGTGTCTACACATTTTGGTTAATCTGATTTGATGCGGTCGGCTACCAAGAGTTGGATTCCAAATAGTCTAAATAGTTACCAGTGTAACTTCCACCTCTCTTGTTTTGTATTTTTAGGAGTGGCCCTGGGCACATTGGAAATGATATCAAGTAATGTAAAAGAGAGAACACATATTTCACACGGTAAAATAATTCCTGTAGATCAACTCGAGGGTTTACAAGTCTTAAGATTACAAATAAGAGTATCAGAAAAAACAGAACAAGAGTACTTGAGTTATTTTAGCATTGTGTGTAAACTTCTGTGTAATGCATACAATGAAAGAAAGCATGGTAGGATGTTATAGAACATGTACCGTTGGACACAGTGCTGAAGATGTTTTCTTTACTGTTTCATTTGAAATTCATAAATGAATACACCTTTTATTTTTTTTTTGTTACTTCCTGATGTTAGATATAGCTCATGGATAATAATTTTGATGATATTAAGGATATGTTAAATTTAACTTTTGATTTGTGCAGATGTTTCGGTGGAAATGAATTAACTGGGCAGGTACGCCTCTTTCTTTTCTAGGAGACTAAGATATTTTATCCCTAACATTTCATGTATGTTATAATTCTATTTGTTCAGGTTTTGAAATATAGAGAATATCCCAGTACCTTTTGAATTCATTTGTCAATCCAGGTTTATAACAGAGGATACTGTTGTAGGCATTCTGAAATTGATGTATGGTCCTTCCATTTTGATTGATACATGGTACTTCCATGTTCATACTGGATGAAACTCTTGGTTTGTTTCTTTTTTCTTTTTGAAGACGACTTCAAGATTAAGGCCTTTATCATTTGTAGGATTTATAGTTAAAGCTGATGTTTCTATTGAGATGTGTGATAATTTGATAATACTAGGTTTAATTAGTTGGTGAAAACGTAGGTCTGATTTTATTGCAAAGGTTATGTAAAAATGTTTTTGGATAATTGGTTTTTAAAAGTTTCCCCTCTCTTTCGTTTCCTTTAAATTGTTCTTTTTAGTGGCCTATTTTTGAGAGAGAATGTGGTTGTTTCCTTTCCAATCCATGTCCTTGTGAATAGTGTTTTATGGGTGCTCAGTTGTATGAACTTTTACATGTCAGTTATTCACACTTTTGAGAAACAGTTTTGAAAACAAAAACGAAAAAAATATTCTTCAGATAGTTTTCTGCACAAATCTAGCCCATTCAATTTTAAGATTTATATTTGCTTCAATTTCTAAGGTTACAAATTTAGCATTATGAATTTTTCAAGGTTACAAATGCTATCAATCTTCAAGTTTTCATTGATTATAAGTATAGGTGAAGTATTTATTTTCTTTTCATTTCGAGGCAACATCGAGACAGACTATTTGATCACGTTCATTTCAAATCTAACTCATTCAAAACTCAATAAAAAAACATGAAATCAACTGTAGTCCTTAAAATCATATTATTTAATAATCATTTCTTATGCTTGCCTCCACAAAGTATACTCTTGTGACTCTTCTAGTATATAAACTAGGTAATCATCCTTCTCTCCACCTGACCATGTAATGATTTTCTCTTTTGGAATGCAGAAACCACCAACCTCTAACGTTGAGTTCTCTCTGGTCACATTTCATACGCATGGATCGTATTGTGGTTCGTAAGGAGTTTATTTTTCCTGATTCATTATGTTTATGCTCTGATGTTGAGCAGTTATTCCAACACCAAAACATTCCATGTTTGTCATTGTCATTCCATAGTCTAGCTAAATGTGATCATGAAAGGCTTACAGAAATTTTAGCTGATGTTATCTCGTCAAATGTTGTATATTGACAACTTTCTGGACTAAGTTTTCCATTTGTGTCCCATATACTTCCGTAGTTCTAAGTTTCTTTAAACCTTTACATATGGCTTATATATTTGCTAAAGTAAATTTCAATTGGAGAATATTTTTCTAACAATAATCTTTTTCCAAATCACCGAATAAGTTCAGCAATTTAGTTTCGAAGATTTTATATATATATATATATATATATATATTTTGTTACTAGAATGAAACTTGTCACATCCAGTAGACAAAGTGTCATGTGGCATCTGGTTAGTTTTGGTGGAAATTTAGCGTGTGACATTATGTTGAATATGTCCATTCTCTTTTATCTCCATTTTTCCTTTTTCAGGTTGTCTAGTACAGCGGACTGGGTGGACAAGAGATGTTGATACTTTTATACAATGGCTTTCAGCTATTCCCTTTTCCGGTGGTGGATTCAGTGATGCTGCAATAGCTGAAGGGCTAGGTGAAGCACTTATGGTACGCATTTTCTTGCTCTCTGATCTTGGTCTTCTGAACTACTTTTATGGTGCTTTATCTTCTCTTCATTTCTGAATGACCCAAGTTGTATTTTTTGGTTCTTTTTCATCTCTCATCTTCTCATCTTCTTCTGAATGTTTTCTTCTGTATTAGACATACCGATGGTGTTCCAGATTGTTTGAGCTCTTGCTCTCTTCCCTCACCATGTCACGTATTTAATTCTTCACATTATAAAATTATGGAATTCTTGAGTTTTTGTTCTTTGAGTTTGATGCATAAATAGGTTTTCTCTTTATAACTGAAAGTGAAAATGTGTGTTATAACTCAATACATCTAGATAATTTTAGAATCACGAGTCTTGTTTTTAACCACGTTTGATTTGAAGTTAGTTGGTTCTCGTTTGAAGGCTTTTGCTATGAGCTATAATTAGCTTGGGATGGGTTTCATATTTTTGTAATCTCTTTGCATATGTCAGACTATTTTTTATGTTTTCAATGGAACAGTTTAGTTTTTATGAAAAAATACAGTGATGCTTGGAAATGACGTACAGGATGGTGCAAAACTGTGTATGCAGTTAAGCTTTGGATCTGCTACGGCCATCCAATTTAAATTGTCTATGAAGTATTGATCTGTTTTAATTAAATCATTTGTAATATTAACTGTATAGTTTTTTTTTATAGGCCCTGTGGTTTGTATGATATTTATGCCTCTCTTTATACTTCAATATCTCTCGAAGTCTCTCGTATGATTCTGAAACTTCTTTCTTTTTGTTAATTTTCGGAATGAAGTAAACTTTTGAATGTGTCCAGTTTAAAATTCTTTTGCTAATTACTACCATAATTTCTTGTTCTCACGAAAGAAATAGAGCATGACTTTATATTCATTTACCTTCACTTGTATCCCTTATGATGTTTCTTGTGCGATAAATTTCTATCCAGATGTTCCCAACTCAGCAAAATGGTGGTCAAAATCAACAAACTATGGATGTGCAGAAGCACTGTATTCTTGTTGCTGCAAGCAATCCTTATCCCCTGCCAACGCCTGTATATAGACCAACGGTGCCAAATTTGGAGCAACAGGACAATGTTGAACCACAGTCCGGGAGTTCTCAATCATATGCCGAGACAGTTGCTAAATCATTTGCTCAGGTTCACATCACATAATTTACTTTTTTCAAGTTGATGAAAATTTACTTTTCTTCCCCGTAGTGTAGCTAAGTTAACTAAACCATCTTTCTGTGCAGTGCTTCATATCTCTGTCAGTTATTTGTCCCAAACAGCTTCCAAAGCTAAGAGCAATTTACAATGCTGTAAGTACGGATGTCTATTCCAGCTCCCTCCTCCCTCACACGTGCACATAAAAGGAAGGCTTGTCCCTTGCAACTTCTCGGATTCTACCATTAGATACATATTTCCTGTATCAAGCATTCAAAGTTTTCTTCTATTAATTTAGTAATGGTGAAGTCTGGAGTTTCTCTGGCATGTGTCATCGCCAGTTCAATTTCTAACCTTTCAAATATTCTAGATTTAACCAACTTTGCTCGTTGTTTTATCCCACCAAGACAATCATCAATTCCTGAATGGCTCAAATCTTTGATAGTTTGCATTACCTAATTATTTTCAGTAATTTGAGATTGAGCAGAATTATAAGGACTTGTACATCAATTATCATGGATTGCAAATGTTGAGAAGGAATGATTTCTATAAAGTTTTCAGCCGCTTATCTTGTGGCACTATAATCAGCATTATTAATAAATATTAATGGTCTCATTTGTAAATATATTCAACTGACCGCTCCACTTGTTAATGAAGGGAAAGCGCAACCTGCGGGCAGCAGATCCACCTATTGATTATGTTAAAATCCCCTCGTATCTTGTTTTGATCTCTGAAAATTTTGTGGAAGCCCGTGCAGCTTTAAGTCGTCCTGGAATTACTAGTTTATCTGCAAACCAGAGTCCTGTGAAAATGGACATATCTCCTGTTGTGCCTGTTACAGGACCACCTCCAACCACTACTCCATCAGGTCCCCTCTCACTAGCTTATCATTGTCTGATCCTGGTCAATTAGATGCATTTGCTTATGGAATGTATTTAGCTTATTGTTATATATGCCCTGGCGACTGCAAGTCTTCAGTATGCTAATTAGCATTTAAATCTGGTATTTGAAATGTAATTTGAACCAGGTAGATTTAGATTCTTATGAAAGATAATGGATTATAGTTGAGTTTTATCTAAATAGGCAATCAAATCAGATTTAACTGATGGTTAAAATCAGGACTCGTTTGGGTTTTGTTTGTCCTTTGATATCCCTGTGTTTGACGTGACAGAATTTTTTGACGGCTTCTTTGGTTCTTTCATATTTCCTACTCATATTGAGTTTAGAGATCTCTGGATATATAAAAAGTTAATATGACATTTGCAAGTAGTATTTGACACTTGAGTTTCTCTTTTGTGTATCCCAGCAAATGGACCTATCATTAACCGGCAGCCAGTTTCTGTTGCTAATGTGCCACCTGCTACTGTGAAAGTTGTAAGAGTCATTTATTTTTATTCTTAATTTCTATGGAGAAATCTCAGCTTTTTTTAATCGTATTCTTGCTACCTGAATCATGCTATACCATAATTTTGTTCAGGAACCAAATACTGTTACATCTATGACAAATGGATCCGCATATCCACCGCATATGCCATCTGTTGTTCGTGCAGCTTCACAGGGAGTCCCGAGCTTGCAGACTTCTTCACCACTTTCTTCTCAGGAGATGATCACAAATAATGAGAACACACAAGATCTTAAACCTCTAGTGAACGGTGTTTCACAGCCTTTGCGCCCTGTGGGTCCTGCTAATGTTAGCATCCTGAATAATATTTCTCAGGCACGAGTGGCTACTTTAAATGGAGGGACTTCCATAGGACTTGCGTCTATGGGTCAAACCCCAATGGCTATGCATGTGTCTAATATGATATCCAGTGGAATGGGGTCGTCTGTGCCAGCTGCACAAAATGTATTTTCATCTGGTCAATCGGGTCTGACATCAATAAATGGGTCTTCAACTCTTACACAGGTTGCGCCAAACTCCGGTCTAAGCTCACTTAGTTCAGCAAATAACAATATTCCTGGAAATACGAACATTCCCACTTCACAAGCAGTAGGAAATCTCCAAGGTGGTGTCAATGTGAGTCAATCAGTACCTGGGATGAGTCAAGGAAATCTTGCAGGAACACAAGTGGTACAAAGTGGAATTAGCATGAACCAGAATGTTATTAGCAATCTAAGCCAACCAGGTGTTTCTTCTGGGAATGGTACGATGATTCCCACTCCAGGAATGCCTCAACAAGTTCAAAATGGGATGCATTCACTTGGTGTGAGCAACAATGCAGCAGCTAACATGCCATTATCGCAGCATACAGCAGGTGCTTTGCAACAAGCACAATCCAAATACGTGAAATTTTGGGAGGTATGTTGAGAATCTGCCTGTGTGTTTTTACGTGATGGTCATGACAATATATCTATTAAAAAGTTGATAAGCTGATTCTAAGTTCCAAGTATGCAAAATCTCTTCTTTTTTGAAGTGTGTAAATCAAGATTTTGAATCTCTTGTTATCATAAGTCCCCACAATGTGAAGATTACTGCATAGGGATGTTCATGGGGCGGGGATGTCTCTGCCGTGGCACTGCCCCCCATTTGAATCTCCTTCCTGTGCAATTCTACGTTAAATTTTGTGGGAATCAGTGCGAGGATTCCCCATGAGGAATTTGCAGGGTTCAGATTTTGTGAATACCAATTCCTTGTTTTATTTATTTTAATCTCAAAAAGAATAATAAGGGACATGTAAATTGGTGTGTGGGAGATTTGTCTGGAGCGTGTTCGTGTCCGACATGTTGACACAGACACTCGGCCTAAAATAGAGTGGTTATGCTTCATAGATGCATACACAAATGATAAAAAAAATAATGTATAGAATATTTGTTCTAAATCATTAAATAGTAAAAACCTTGTTACCGTCATAATCACAAATGATAAAAAAATAACCATGTCAACCTTGTTACCGTCATAATCACAAATGATAAAAAAAATAACCATGTCACATATATATACATGTAAGTAAATGCGTGGGTTTTGTTTTATTATGATTTTGGATGTAGAAGTGTGCTAGTAAGAATTTGAGGTTAAATATGAGTTACAACACAATCAAAAGAAGTGAAATCATAAATTTTGTTGAACATTTGTCAAGGCTAAGAGTTCAAGGTGGTTGTCCTTGGTTCTTCATGACTCATAGTATATTTTGAAGATATAATTGATGTTTTTGTATTAGGAATAAGGTCAGATTAAAAAATGTAAATTATGTAGAACTTTTGTTTATTCAGGTTCCATATTAGATAGATTTCTTTTAGAGTTGTATTCTTTTTTACTTCTGATGATGTTCCACCATTTGTTGCATCAATTTATTTTAAAAACTGATTATTTTGAATAGTTGCAAGATAGTATTCTTTGTCGGTAGAAATTAGAAGTTTAATTAGGTGGAATGAAAATTATCTCAAACATTGTTTGTTTATGGCAATGCAGGGAAATCTGTCTGGTCAGAGACAAGGCCAGCCTGTTTTTATTACAAGAATGGAAGTATGCTTCTGATCATCAGCTATGTAGTTTTAGTAAAAATGGATTACTATTTATTAAAGTCATTTGCTTTACAATTTTAGTAAAAATGAATTTTATTTTCTTAGCATCTACATCAATGGTTTATATATTGAAAGCTTTTATAGTGATCAGAAAGTGATCTTTCCTCTACCATGATGTCAAGTTGTTCATTGATGTGTTTTAACTCATTAAGTTGTTTTTGTCAGGGCTACAGGAGTGCTTCAGCTTCTGATAAGTAAGTTGACTATGGTTCTGAGTTTACTTCTTTCGTACATTTGAAAATTTTGAGAATTATGTATGATTCCCTTTTAGTTTATAACTCATAAAATTTTGTAAAACTAGGAAATTTTCTTTATACCATACATGTTATCGGGTTGAAGGGGGTGTTAGAATTAACTTATTGGTATTGTCCAGTCATTTACTCAATAATTGGAAGTATTAGATTTAATTGGCCTCTTTTGTGGGTCCGGAAGAAGCCGGCATGCATAATTCTTAACATAGCTTTTTTCTAGTTTTCAATCAGGAACTCTTAAGTAGTTAGACATAGGTTAGATCATTTTTTGGTTGAAGATTTTTTAACTGGCTTCAGTTCTGGAAAACGAACCTGAGAAATCAGTGTTGCTATGGAATAATGAGCTTGAGGATTTGTGGATATCAGTGGTGTAAATGTTTTTGGGAACTTCAGGCAACCTGATAGATGCTCTGTTAACTGTCATTTAAAGTGAGGGGATTATGCTTTCTACAGTCTGAATTTGCCTTCAACAAGAAACAGAAACAGGCAGTTTCTATTATGTAAATATATATCCCAAAAGATAGAGTAGCTTGCTTTTGCTTCTATTGCCTACTTAATAGAGCCTGTCGCAGTTGCGGTGGTTGATTCATCCTTAAGTCAACCACCCATGTCATAGAGCCAATGACATGTGTAAGCATGAAAACAAAAGCTAGAGGTTCTTTACCTGAGGATCCTGGTTATTGTTCTCATCTGCAAAAACCTGTTACTGCAAAAATAGGTTGTAACTATGGAGTACAACATTTTCGATAGCATACAAACTAAGTGGTAGTGCCTACAAGGTCTCTTTCCCTGCTTGATTCACAAGGATTTGTGTTGTGGGCATCTTCGACCATTACCTGCTACACGATGTACTCACTGGGGATCAGAGGTTTATTTTTCATGAATGACTCGTTAATCCTGGAGCAATACTACCTTTTCTAACATAGCCACTTGGTCTGAAATTTGCTGTACTATTCTTTAGTTGTTAATGATGTTTGATAGCCAGTTGCTGTTTTCTTCACTGGTAAGTGTGGGTACGATGCCAGTATCCCCTTTGAATTCCTGTATCCATCATTGGTGGGCAATCTACATCAGAAACTTTAGATTCTTGTTACTTCGATTATGGTAAAGACTAAAGACGGGGCCCAAGAAATCTGTCAGCCATTTTTGAATTCTCATGAATTTCTTTGTTCACTAACGTCTGGGATTTTTTTTGGCCATGCTAATAAAATCTCCCAAGTTTAACATCATCTCATTCAAAGCGTAGAAATTTACGAACCATTTCTGCATATTTTTTACCTCCATCCCTCTTGAGATTTAGTTGTCTTCCCCTACTTTACACATTTAAATATGTGGATCAGTTCAATTTTTTTCGTTGTGGTGTAATCGTTTATCTATCTTCAATGTTCATAGGCTTGCAGCAAACTGGCCGCAGATAATGCAAATAGTTCGGCTTATCTCACAAGATCACATGAATAACAAGTAATTTGTTGCTCAGTGGGATAATAGTATTTTTCTTCTGTCATTTTAATTAAAACCAGCTCAAGTTTTGTTGTATTTGATTTTAGGCAATATGTTGGAAAAGCTGATTTTCTTGTTTTCCGAGCTATGAATCAACATGGATTTCTTGGCCAGCTTCAAGAAAAGAAACTTGTAAGTGGTCTACATTTTTTTTTCCTAACCATTGAATAGGTTGATGTGCTTTCTTTTAGTTAAACGCTGGGATTTTTTGTTTCCGCCTCAATATAACTAAATGTACATCATGGTTCAAATCTCCTTTGATTATTTATTTACTATTACTATTATTTTATGTCTAGTCAGACCCTATCATCGATTATCTGAGATTCTGTTGGACTGTGATAGGAATTTTTCCTAAAATGATTCTATATAACGGAAGTGCGATCCTTTGATAGATGAATTGCAGTCATGAGGCTTATTAACAGGCTGACTCAAGTAAATTGAAAATCAAAGGAAAGATAGTTGAGAATTTAGTTCAATAACTTTTTTGCATCTGTTTTATTTTTAATAAATGAACCTCCTTATCCATTTAAAAGATTTCGTACGTTGAATTGCAGTATTATTTATAAGTTTGTTGTACTCTTTATTTTTATGGGGTTATTAATTTTAAATTATAAGTTTTGTTGATGAACTTTAAAGGTTGTGTTCAATAAATCTTCAAAGTTCAAAAAACGTCCAATAAGTCACCAAGGCTCCATTTGATAACCCTTTGATGTTTGAAAATTAAGTTTATACACTACTTCCACCTATGAGTTTCTTTGTTTTGTTATCTATTTTATCTTACCAAATTGAGGAGAATAAATACTGGCATTTCAAGGATGCTTTTGTTGAACATGCCCATAAGAGAGCCATCTATCTGGAAAATCTTTGAGGGAAAAAGGAAGAGAGAAGTGAACTTTGAGATCATTCTCAAATTTCATCATCCAAAAGGAGATTCCTTTAAAGGCCAAGGTACCACGCAAGGGAGCTAGAGTTCCATGAGTTCGAAATGAAGAGGTATATAGTGCATGACCAAAGCATAGATCTTCGGAAAAGATATAGGGAGGAGATCCGCCTATCCAAAGATCATCCCAAAAATTGGAATTAGCCTTTATCAAGTGCCTGCTTTCAAGAGAATTAACTCCCTCAGTTTCTAAACTAGTAATGACCTATACCAGTCCTACATTTATGTTATGCTAATTAAGTGTGCAACAGTGAGCTTTTCCTTTAAACATTTTGTGTATATATTGATATTTTACTAGCAAGAATGATTTATGGTTCTAGTTGTACATGCCAGCGTTGCTTTGTGCTTGAAGCATTTTTGGGTCATTTGGATTACTAATCTGCATTCCATATGCGAACCTGCATCAAACCTTATTTTCTGAGTGGTTTCTGATGTTAAGCCTCTCCCTGGTCTGTTCAGTGTGCAGTCATCCAGCTACCATCCCAGACTTTACTGCTATCTGTTTCTGATAAAGCTTGCCGCTTGATAGGGATGCTTTTTCCTGGGGTAAGACGTTTTTGAGCTACAAAGATTAGTTTGTATTAGTACTAGTATTTTTTTTTTTTCTTTATCTTACCAACAAATAAATGGTGAGAATCCTTCATTTTGAGGTCAATACATTACCAACAAATCTCAGATCTCGGTTGAGAAGTATAATTCAATATTTGAATGCAACTTTGATGCCTACGTTTCTCTTTTGCAATCATCTACATTGAACTGATGTTTGATGCTTATCTATTTGTTCTGCAATCATATATTAAACCGAAACATTTGATTACTAGAATTCTTGTGTTGCAATTGTAGGATACAGCATATGATGATGTGTATTATTAAGTGCGAATTTCTCTGATTCTAAAAGTTCAATTAATCATCTTCAGAAATCTTTCTATGTGGAAGGTGTTTTGAACTATAGTTGTTGACATTCAATAAATGGTGCATGTAAACATAGTCACACATATTGAGGACAAGAATCACAGGAAGCACTCACAAATTAAGAATTCTCATTAATTTACACATCTATGAGAGGCTCTTTTTTATTTTCAAACATTTTTTTTTTGGGATAAGATAAGAACAAATGTTTCAAAACCATTCAGAATGGACAAAACCAATCACATAAAGGGGCCTAAGGATGAGAGATCCCTAAGACCAAAGACAAGTCAAACAAACTGCTTTAAATCTAAGTTGATGAGAAATGGAGTATTACATATACATAATATATACATATATACATATATATATGTATATTATGAAGAGCACTCTCATTATCGATTGGCTAGTACTTTTATTTGTTTGTTGTAACGTTCAATTTTGTGGCCAATTGAAAGTAAAAACAATATTTTTTGAAGAGTTTCAAGGCTCTGTTTCTTTGAAGGCTTTCTAAATCAGTTTCCTTAAAGTCTTAATTGCAGATAATTCTGTGCCATATCTTAGTTATTCAGCAAGCATGTTTAAATATTTTATTTTTATGATATTCTTCAATGTGCTAAAAGTGTGTTCGATCATGCCCTAATATGTCTGCAAAATCATGATAAAAATGATAAATTCAACGGATCATCAATCTTGTTTCCTAGCATACAGATGGTGCCATGGACTGCATCTGATGTATACCTTCTTTTAAAAAACGTCATTGTTTTATCGATATTATCCGTGAGATGGAGATGTAATTAATCCCAAGCATGAGCACATAGTTGAATCTTGATGCTACTGAAATTATTGAGTTTAATTGTTTATACTAGATGTTATTTTTATGTAACGTTCAACGTACATGTGAATACACAATGGCACGTGGCACGTGTGACACGTCGAACCACAAACGTGGCAGTCGTGTGTAGTATTCTATATACAGAAAAACCTTTTTTGTTTATAATTCTGTATTTGAATTTAGGTCCATGCTCATAAATTTTATTTAGTTAGTTGCTTTACATATTCAAAGCATTTAATTTGAATTTCTTGTAACTGTAAACATAAAACGTCTCTAGCTCTTTATGATTAAATTAATTTATTTGCTTTCCCCATTTGGTATCTTCTTTAACTTTGTCTGTCGCTTTCTGACATTCCAGGACCCTCTCTTCTTGTCCAATAGTCTATAATTGTGATTGTTTTTGTTGCTTTTTCATTTTTATCTTTTTACTTGTATGAATATGCTCGAGTGTGCCCATTTGACCAAAAATAATCAAGCCTTCTTTTTGATCTAGGTTGCCATATTGTTGTTGTTTCCAATTTTGTCAAGTGCTATTAATAATGGATTGCTGGTTGGTATTTCATAGTTTTGCTACTTTCTGAATCAGGATATGGTTGTGTTTAAGCCACAAATATCCAGTCAACAGCAACAACAACAACAGCAAATCCAACAGCAACAACAGCAGCAAATGCAACAGCAACAGATGCAACAACAGCTACAGCAACAGCATCAGCTTTCTCAGTTGCAACAACATCAACAACTTCCTCAGATGCAGCAACAGCAGCAGCAGCTTCCTCAGATGCAACAGCAGCAGCAGCAGCTTCCTCAGATGCAACAGCAGCAGCAGCAACAGCAGCAGATGCAACAGCAGCAGCAGCAGCAACAGCAGCAGATGCAACAGCAGCAGCAGCAGCAACAGCAGCAGATGCAACAACAGCAGCAGCAGCAACAGCAACAGCAGCAGATGCAACAACAGCAGCAGCAAATGCAACAACAGCAGCAGCTTCCTCAGATGCAACAACAGCAGCAACTTCCTCAAATACAGCAGCAGCAGCAGCAGCAGCAACTTCCTCAAATACAGCAGCAGCAGCAGCCCCAACAACCACAATTGTCACAGCTTCAAACCCAGCAGCAGATTCCCCAAATGCAACAACAGCAGCAGCAACAGCAGCAACAAATGGTCGGGGGTGGAATCGGTCAATCGTATGTCCAAGGTCCTGGGCGATCACAGTTAGTTTCACAGGGACAGGTCGCTTCCCAGGGTCAATCCAACATGCCTGGTGGAAGCTTCATGGGTTGATTGCACCATTCTGGTTTACTTTTAAGTCAGCATGGTAACACTTATTATTATTTGTGGGAATCGTGATAACGCACGATTTTTAACCGATATAGTTTCCTTGCCATTGCATTATAGTGAATTTGTGTATATATGCCACGATATTTGTATTGACTATAATGTCACGTCCATTAGATTTGGAAGAAATGTGAAGTTTTTCCTTTGAAGAGGAAGAAATTGAGTTGCTTCCCCTATGAACATAAACGAGGATAGTACTGAAATGGTCCATTTAGAATCTGTGTTTCTTTGAAGGATATGATTGAATTCATTCTACCATTTCTTCAAGCCTAAAAAAGGTATGTATGAAATGGATTCTTATGATTTGCAGGAGATTTTAGAATTTGTGGGTTTTATATACATTTTTTTAGAATCATATTTGAGGTAATTTTCATTGGATGCGAATTATATGTGATCTTATGGCAACATTTTTTTTGGAATAAATAATGATTAATATCATAATGTTACTCATTCATGTACCTAACATTAGAAGGTTTGTTATTAATGATATATATGTAAAAATGCAAGGCCAAGACTCGTCCTTGTTTAGCTAAAGAGGAAGAAATTTCTTGTAACGGCTCATGCTTGGATTTAGATTCAACACTTGATGGCCCCAACATCCTCCTACATCTCTTGCAACATGCCACGTTACTTACTCTTTGCTTCTTAAGAGTGGAGTTTATCCTCACAGACCAACACGAATACTTCTAACATGATTTGCCTTCACTCACATGCATCCCCAGAAAAATTCTTCAGAGTTCACCCAACATAAAATTGTTCAAAGAAAAGGGTATACCTTGAAAAATTCTTCGGAGTTTACCTAACATAAAATTGTTCAAAGAAAAGGGTATACCTTGTTGGTATAAGTAGTAACTTTCATTTCCTTTAAATCTTTCTTTGTCATCCTATACTCACGGCTCATTCATGTATCCTTCATTTACTCGAATGTCATATTTCTTCCTACTCCCTTCTCCACACCAAATCAAACAAAAATTCTCTGCCTCGTTAAGGATAGGTCCCTGTGAAACTTCAATCTCGTAAGTTAAATGGAACCTTTTAAAGTCATGTCTCGAGCCCTTCTCGAAATCAATAAAAAAAGGAATTTAGCTGATTACCCCATTCAACTTTAGAAAAATAGCCACCATCTTCTTACTTTAATCATAGTTGCTTTCACTAATGGCTCCCCACTTTTTCAATTCCAATTATTGTTAAACCTTCGTTTTCATCATTTTCTCCTCATTACCATCCAACTCAAAACTTTTCTTCTTTTTTACATCACTCCAAAATCCATTTTTCTTTTTTAAAAATAAATAAATAAATAAATAATTCTTTATTTAACCTAATTAGCCTAAAAAAGAAAATATTTTTTAAACATATTTTCACTCTTTCTCTTGCTTCAGTATTAAAAAAAAAAAAAAAAAAAAAAAAAAAAAAGCCTTAAAACAAGGAATCTAATAAAGCATAATTAAAAGTGGAATTAATTTAAATTTAATCTAATTATTTAATTATTTAATAATCTCCATTCCACCCAACAATTGAGTACTCCTCACCCACTCTTTATATTTGGTTCAATCGTTTTGGGGCACATCAAATTCAAACCTTTCACCTTCTCTTCGTTCTTGGGTTCCTTCTCATCAACATGGTTCCTTCTTCTCAAGCTCCCAAGGTGAGCCTGCACCAACCATGGCTATGGCTATCGCTATGCCTTTCTCGACCCTTTTGTTTGTGTAGCTTTGTTGTAACCTCTCTTTTATTTGTATAGGAGATTCCCGACCGTGACCAGAAATGGAAGGCGGAGGCCCCGACACGACATGCCAAATGGTGGTACTCCACCTTCCATACCGTCACTGCCATGATCGGTGCTGGCGTTCTTAGCCTGCCTTATGCCATGGCTTATTTGGGATGGTAACGTTAAATCACCACTAAACTCAAAAACTTGAGTTAATTCATGTCAATTTATATTCTTAATTGAAGTGAACTAAACTGTCGTATGAGCCATGCAAGAGATTGAATTGACATTGAGCTATAATATCGTGTTATCGTCGGTTGATAAGACCCGTGTTAAATTATGATTATTTGACGTAAATATTCACCTCACCAACTTTTTCTTTTCTCTGTTGTTTCGCGATCAGGGGACCTGGAACGATGGCTTTGTTTATATCATGGTGCATGACTCTAAACACGATGTGGCAAATGGTACAACTTCATGAGTGTGTCCCCGGGACTCGTTTCGATCGATATATTGACCTGGGTCGATATGCTTTCGGCGAAAAACTTGGCCCTTGGATTGTTCTACCACAACAACTCATCGTCCAAGTCGGTTGCGACATAGTATACATCGTAACAGGCAAGCCCATTATAACATCAACATAAACGAAAGTATCTCGATTTCATAAAAATATCAACGTGGTAACTCACGTTCGGGTTCGGGTTCGGGTTACAGGAGGGAAGTGCATGAAGAAGTTCATGGAGATGGCTTGTGTCAACTGTGCTCAAGTCAAACAATCCTATTGGATTTTGATATTTGGTTCAATTCATTTCTTCCTTTCTCAACTTCCAAATTTCAATTCCGTTGCTGGTGTTTCTCTAGCAGCTGCCATCATGTCCCTCAGGTAATTAATTAATTAATTAATTATTTATTTATAATCAAAATTAAAAATTAAAATTAAAATTAAAAAGCTTACTTTATTTATAGAATATGTTCTATATTTCTATATTCATAAATCTTTTCAATAATATATAATTTTTATATTAAAAAAAGATTTTTTTCCAAATTATTCTTAAATCTTTTGCTTTATTCTTTCTTTCAAACATGATGTTTTAGGGACCAAAAAGCAAAAAAGTTAAAATTTCTTATTCCCTTGAATAAATATAACGTAATCAAGGGACCAAAAAGCAAAAAAAAAAAAAAACTTTTCATCCCAAAAGAAATTAAAAATTTTAATAATTAGACAATTTAAGCATAGTTCAACTCATTAAATACTAATTATTTTAAATTAAAAAGTTAAAATTTTAAATTTTATATAAAAAACGGATCGGATGGAAGGTCATTTTCGAAATAAAAGTAAACTTTAGTTAGGCATAGGGTAAATTAAAGTTTGTATCTTTAAGTTTGATAAGCTCGTTAAAAGATTAGGTTAAATTTTTATGGTTAGAATATTTGATATATTAATAAAATATACCCTAAAGGCGATGCATTTTATGGTCTTGTCTTTAATGACCTGACGTTTTGACTCATTTTAGGATTTCGAGAAACTCGGGAATATTTTTTTATTTAAAAAAGTTGACTGTAAAATATTTTTTAAGTTAATTTCTTATTGATATAAACATTCTTAGTAAAAATATTTTGGTTAAATTACAAATTTAATCCCTATAATTTAGAGAAAGTTAAAATTTAGTCTGTGGGACGTGTTCTTTGATTGTAGCTACTCGACCATTGCGTGGGTGGGGAGCCTAAGCCGAGGGCGAATCGAGAACGTGAGCTATGCGTACAAGACAACGAGCATGGAAGATTCAATGTTTAGAGTGTTCAACGCCTTGGGGCAAATCTCCTTCGCATTTGCAGGACACGCCGTCGCTCTCGAGATTCAGGCCACCATACCGTCGACACCGGAGAAGCCCTCGAGGGTTCCGATGTGGAAAGGCGTGATCGGAGCGTATTTTATCAACGCCATTTGCTATTTTCCGGTGGCTTTGATCGGATATTGGGCATTTGGACAAGATGTTGAAGACAATGTTCTTTTGAATCTTAAACGACCAGCTTGGCTCATTGCCTCTGCTAACCTTATGGTTGTCGTTCATGTCATTGGCAGCTACCAGGTGATGTCAAATCACTTGATTAACTTTAATCATGTAATTAATTGTTAATTAATTTAGGTTTAATCATGATGTTTATGATTAATCTTGTTTAGGTTTATGCCATGCCTGTGTTTGACATGTTGGAGAGGATGATGAGAAAGAGATTGAATTTCCCTGATGGATTTTGCCTCAAGTTTATCACTCGAACCGCTTATGTCGGTAAGTTACTCATTAGTGGTGTTCATATGACTCGATAACTCGACCAATTCGAACTACTCAATCCAAACGATAAAAGTTGAGTTGGGTTAGGTTTTTTCCGTTTGGGTTGACTTGAATGTTTTACAAAACTCAAAATTTCGGTTTGGTTCGTGAGTTGACATTTTTTGGTCAGGTCAACTCGACCAAACAAAAATAGAGTTACAATCCAACTCACCCATGCCGTACTTTTAAGGTTGGTAAGATGTTTGGGTTGTGATTAGTAAATGTTTGATATTTTAATTTTATAAAATATTAGTTATTAACGTAACATGAATAAATAGAATTTTTTAATAATAAAAAAATAACTCAATCTATTCAAATTGCTTGAGTCACCAACTCAACCACCCCAAAATTTAGGGTTAGTCCGAAAGATTTTCCCAACCTAACACGAAACTAGAGAGTTGGGTTGGGTTGTGAACTCTATTCGGATTGGCCGAGTCACCAACCGAACCACCCCAAAATTTAGGGTTAGTCCGAAAGATTTTCCCAATCTAACACGAAAATAGAGGGTTGGGTCGGGTTGGGCTGTGAACTTTATTCGAATTGCTCGAATCACTAACCCAACCACACTGAAATTTCGAGTTAGTCCAAAAAAAATTCTTAACCCAACACGAAAATAGAGAATTGGGTTGGGTCGGGTTATGAACTCCATTCGAGTAGCTAAAGTCACTAACCCAACCATCCCAAAATTTCAGGTTAGTCTAAAAAACTTTTTCAACTCATCTAAACCCGTGTACACCCTTAATGATTATGCACTATTGTTTCTCATACCCGTCTTCTAGTTATGTCATTACAAGTCAACGGTCTCGATCAACGAGGCGAAGATGGATACCAACTTCAAATCCTTATCGGACCCGCCACTCAAATTCATTAAATTTGACCAAAGTTTAGTCTCTTAATAATCTACATTAATTAACATAATGTCATGATTTTTTTTGTTACAGCATTCACAATATTTGTGGGTGTGACATTCCCATTCTTCGGCGACCTGCTTGGCTTCTTCGGTGGCTTTGGGTTTGCTCCCACTTCATATTTCGTAATATTTCTCTTTATTAGGCTATTTCAAATAATTATTGCTAATTATGATTAAGCATTGCTAATCTTAATTTGGATGCTAATTAATCAAATTGCAGCTTCCAAGCGTAATGTGGCTAGTGATCAAGAAGCCAAAACGATGTAGTTTCAACTGGTTCATCAACTGGGTATACATTTATTAATCATAATTAATTAGTTTAATAATTATTAATGAATTAATTAATTATATTGGTGGTTGTTACAGGTAAGCATATTTGTCGGAGTGTTCATAATGTTGGCATCCACTGTCGGGGGGCTGCGCAATATTATAGCTGATGCTTCCACTTACACTTTCTATACCTAATATATATATATATATCTAAGTTCTTGACGTTGACTTTTGTAGCTTTTTTGACTTAATTTTGTTAATGAATGCAATGTTACTTTTTGTACTTAATTTCATTTTGTTTGTGTTGTTTTTTTTTAATTAATTTCTAGTTGGGTGTTCGGATCGGAAAAATTTGATCGACCCAACTGATAAGTATAGTTTAAGTTGAGTTATGAACTTACTTGAATTGGGTTGGGTTTAAATAAATGAACGTTTTTATCATGTGTTTTTAGATTGAGTTTAATTGAACCAACTTGAGGTTATTGTGAGATCCCACGTCGGTTGGACATATAAACAAAACATTCATTATAAGAGTGTGGAAACCTCTCCTTAGTGTCATGCTTGTCCAGGGCGTGTTGCCCATGGACGCATGCCTATGACAAACCGAACCCTTTATGTCTTTCTATGTTGTAATGTTTTCCTTTTGTATTTTTAGGGAGTATGACGTTTTGGAAAAATCGTGTCTGGGGCTGCTAGACATGAAATGTCTCAAAATGTACTGTAGGGGGATATGACTAGTTGTCAACTTCTCCCTACCCGATAGTTATATGCAGAGTAAACCATTGTTGTCTTTTGCTTACATTCACATATAACACTAATTTCAATTTCTCAATCTTGTTTTCAAAACTCTCTTTCGAAATCTCTCTGCTCCCGTTTTCTAAAACTTTCTTCTTGAACCGGGGCCAGAGGCTCGAGCGTACATCGCTTGGCCATAGGGGATGCAAGAACGAGTAGGCTTAACTCACTTGCTGTTGAGAAGTGAGTGTCGCACAATCGTAAGTCCGCTGCCATCAAAGTGCGATTGTGACACTTAGCAGACGCATTTTAAAACCGTGAAACTGACAATGATACGTAACGAGCCAAAACAGACCATATCTGCTAACGGTGAGCTTGGGATGTTACAAATGGTATCAGAATCAGACACTAGTCAATATGTTAGTGAGGATGTTGAGCCCCAAAAGGATGATTGTGAGATCCCGAAGTAAAAAAAATTCAGTGAGAAATCATGTTTATTTATTTATTATTATTATTTTTTGGGTCCTAAAATGTGGCAAAGACTTTAAAATTAAATTCAACAATTTTGTAATAATAAAATTTGGAAAAAGTGAGGCACAAAAAAATAAAGATTATAAGAGAAGTTTATAAGTGGGTACTCATTATGTCACCGTTTATGTATAATCAATCTTAATTAGTGGCGTGTAATCAATTAATTGGAATATTTTATAAGTGGATTACTTAGTGCTAATTTTCCTATTAATAATAAACTCATAATCCACATTTTACTTTAATTATTAATTTATTATATTTTATGAAATAAGTTATTTTTCATTAAATAATAACATTATTATTATTTTAACCCTCACACGAACTTCATTCCAAATTGACCAGCGGCCCAAAGGCCCATAAGAAGTTGGGCCTCTAGCCTTGCTAGCACAACAGTTCGGAGGCCCAGTTGTTGACTTTCGATTATCAAAACGACGTCGTTTCTAGAATCTCCTTTTCGTCTTCCTCCTCCCTCGGCTTTTCGCAGTTCCTCCTCTGAAAACGAATCAGTCCACTTCCATTTTTCCTATTTTATCCTTCGAATTTTGTAATCTTTTGAAGAAATTAGCAGAATTGTTCCTCATCGGAACCGATTTCCGCTTCAGATTGACAAGAAAAGAAGCCATGGAGATTGCGATTTGCGGCAAATTAGCTCTCTCACCCAACCATGTCTTCAACCCCAAACCAGGTACAAGTTTTAATTCACTCTTTTTCTTCATTACTCATCATCAAATCTTCTTTGATTCTACTTATTTTCATCCGCCATTGCTGATTCCTCGAGAAATCGTACATATATCGTCCTTTTAATCTATCTTATTTTCCGAGTGAGTTTGACTTCAATTCTGGGTTTTAATCTTTTAATCCCAACTAAACTTGGTTTATGAACAAGTTTGTTTGCTTTTACTGAGATATTTGATGATCTCAATTGATCTATGGAGTTTCGATTCTTGTGCCATGGTGCCAAGCTTATCTGTTTGCATTGAGCTGATTGGAATATTTGATTGCGAAGGGCCGGCAACTGTAAGGAATGTACCATAAGACCAAAAAGTGCAATATTTTTTGTGGAAAAGGATTTTCTGTGTATGCTGATATCTTGAATGGATTATATTCCATTGTTCAAGAATCTTCTGTTCCGTGGCATCTTCCTTATTCTAGATTTATAAAAGAAATTCCTATTTTTATCCTAGTGTGATCTGTAAGCTGCCTAGCATATAGTATCCCTCTTTATTTTCCCATCTTGTGGCTATTCTTCTATTATTCTTTTGCTTTGTACTTTGCTTTGTATGCTTTTTTTTGTTTTGTTCCATATTCTCTTTTGCATATGGCTTAGTTGTCAATCACGTTGGAAGCTGCTTCGTTTCTTGCTATAGATGAACTAATTACTTTCTATGGAAGATTAAGATTACTTTTATTACTTTATGTGAGATCCTACATCGGTATTGGTTGAGGAGGAAAACAAAACATTCTTTGTAAGGGTGTTGAAACCTCTTCCTAGCAAACGCGTTTCAAAAATCTTGAGGGAAAATCCAGAAGAACAATATCTGCTAGCGGTGGGCTTGAACAGTTACAAATGGTATCAGAGCCAAACATTAGGCTCCTCGTTAAAGGGGGATAGGCATGAGACAGTGTGCCAATAAGGACGCTGGGCCCCGAAGGGGGGTGGATTGGGGGGTCCCACATCAATTGGAGAAGGGGACGAGTGACAGCAAGGACGTTGGCCCCAAAAGGGGGTGGATTGGGGGGGTCCCACATCGATTGGAGAAGGGGACGAGTGCCACCAAAGACGTTGGCCCCAAAAGGGGGTGGATTGTGAGATCCCACGTCGGTTGGGGAGGAGAACGAAGCATTTTTTTATAAGGGTGTGGAAACCTCTCCCTAGCATATGTGTTTTAAAAACCTTGAGGGGAAGTTCGGAAGGGAAAGCTAAAAAATGACAATATCTGTTAGCGATCTCAGTTACACTTTATTTGCTCTGAGATATTTCTATGATTTGATTCTTCTCCTTTTACAACTTTATCTGAATTTTCAAAGTGCAGCACTATGAGTAGATTAGCAATGGATAATATTAGCTTCTTATAAAAGTTTCATTTCAGGGGAGAGAAGTTCTGTCTGTAAAGGGCTATGCTCAACCCTTTGTGCATCCGTTGTTAAATCAGCAACAACAGCAGGAAGAGGAGGAGGAGGGTTGTTGGAGAGGCCTGTTATTGAGAAAGCCACTCCTGGAAGAGAATCTGAGTTTGATTTGAGGTACTAAACATTAGACCCTATGGTTATGTATTATGTATTGAAAAAGATTACTATATACTGATCTAGAAAAGGGGACAAGGAAAGAATAAAGTATACCAGTTAAAGACCTTAAAGAGATCGACAGATTCTGGTGTAGGGTCGTCCGAAGACTAACGGTTAGATGGTTTTTCGCTAATCTTTACAATTCGAATTCTAAATCAAGACTACTACTCTTTAGCAATGTGTCTCCTTACATGTATGAATCACTTTGTATCGCCAATGCAATGGTGGGTATGATTTTAGAGACATGGTCATCTTATTAGCCATGTGCCATGTTGAACTTTTATGTGGGAAAACCAAAAAAAACAAAGTTAGAGGTTGAAACCACTGAACTTGCTTATGTTCCCGAGGTTGAAACCACTGAACTTGCTTATGTTCCCGAGGTTGAAACTACTGAACTTGCTTATGCTCCCGAAATTCAGAGGTTGAAACTTCTGAACTTGTTTATGCTCACGAAAGTTAGGGGTTGAAACCACTGAACTTACTTATGCTCCCAAAAGTCTGAGGTTAAAACCACTGAACTTGCTTATGCTCCCGAGTGCATCCTTTTATATATATATATATATATATATATGAAACAAAGCATTCATTTTTGGAGTTGGTCTTGTTCTTGTACCTTTACCTGACTGTCATTAACTAAATACATTGAGCTTTGTATTCTGAAGGCTAAATGAATGGCATTAGAAGTATTGCAGTTGAAGTAAAGGAGAAAAAACGAGTGGTATGAGCCTGAACTGCAATGATCGAAAAACGCTGGTTTTTTCTTTTTTTGACTGTTAAATCGGGACCGAGCGGGCTAAGTTCATGCAACTTAGGCAGACTTCTGGTTATAAGTTGATGTTTAATCTAGTCTTGAATGTTTCATTGCACAACTGCATTGGTTTCATTCTTCTCTGTTGGATTGTTCAGGAGATCAAGGAAAACGACGCCACCATACCGTGTGATTCTGCATAACGACGACTTCAACAGACGAGAATACGTCGTTCAAGTCCTGATGAAAGTGATTCCTGGAATGACACTGGACAATGCTGTTAACATCATGCAAGAAGCTCACTGCAATGGCATGTCACTGGTGATCATTTGTGCGCAGGCTGATGCTGAAGAACACTGCACGCAGCTCAGAGGCAATGGGCTGTTGAGTTCAATCGAACCAGCGAGTGGCGGGTGCTGCTGAACTTCTTCATCCACTGGGTCATACGTTTATGGTGTATCAAGTTAGTCTTCATAACCAAAGGCATGGAGATAGGTAGGAAACTGGTATAATATAAGTATTGCACAACTCTTACTATATTTTCTTTGTTTTTGGAGTAAAAAAAAAAAACTTTTATTTTTTATTTTTAATTATATATATATATATATATATATATTTTTTTTTTTTTAACGTTCGACATGAGAGGTGAATTTACATTTTCATTATTTTATAGTAAAATTGATGAAAAATGTCGATAAAATATCACTAATCGGACATTAATATTAATTATAAAGAATTTAAATTTATTTTAAAATGGTTATATTCTTATTTATCGATTTTTTATTGACGTTGATAACATCTGGTACCAATGAAAATATTAATATTTTTTTTGTTATATCTATAATTTTTTTTTATCTAATTAATTTATAACTTCGGTTGTATTTTTAATATAATATTACATTTGAATGAGAGTGTGAGTTTGTAAAAGAAGGTAAAAGCAATTAACATTTTAATTGTCACATTATATAAATAATCATCTTAATCCAAAGTATGAAACCATATAATAAAATTGTAATTCTATTCGCGGCTTTCAAACTCTCATTTTCTTACTAATTGATGACATTCGCGGCTTCTCTTCTTCTCTATTCAGTATAAATACTACTGCCGCACCCTTTTCTTTTGCTTATCCTTTCTCACTTCAATGTCCATGG